GCACAGGGTTACTTATAGTCACCCTATGTACCTATGATTCTTTTTTTTTTTTTTTTTTTTTTTTGTGCCAGGAATCAAACTCAGGACTTTGTGCTTGCCAGGTAGGTGCTATGCTGCTGAGCCGTATCTCCAGCCCTGATTACATTTTCTTTCCCATCTACAAGGTTGCCTATGCCCAACCCCCTTGTCTATTTGACGTGCAAGAGATTCTTTATTTTAGGATTTTAAAAACTTTTTGTTTTATCTTCCTTCAGAAAAGAACTCTTGATTTTATTTATCAAATCTTTTTCTGTTTTATTTAATTTCAACTTCTCTCATTAGCAGTTCTGCACTCCTGCTTTCTTTTTATAATTTTGGTAGTCTGTGGCCTGCTCCTTAAGTGAAATTCTTAGGTCATTTATTTTCAGTCCCTTTTGACTTCATTTAAAGCTATAAACAAGCATAGGGCTATAATAATTGCCTATAACAGCTGCATACTATAAAACTTTACATTTGTCATTATCTTCTACATCATTCTAAATTTTATTATTTTTATTTTAAAGAGAAAAAAGATAATAAAACTGAGTTTCACAACAGGTTAGGACAGTTACAATAGTGGATCCATTGCATATTGTGGTCTTCATAGTAGTTCATCAGAGTACAAGATACAGGCATGATATCTTGTCTAAACAATATCAGCAGAAAACATTCTTTTCAAGGAACTAAGAGAAGCTAGTTGTTTTGCTTTTTGTTTTTTGTTTTTTGTTTTTTGTTTGTCTTTTTGAGACAGGGTCTCACTGTGCAGTTCTGTCTGGCCTCCAACTCACTGTAGCCCAGGCTGGCCTCTAACTTGTAGCAATCCTGCTGCCTCAGCCTCCTGAGTGCTGGGATTACAGGTGTGTTACACCACGCCTGGCTTATATAACTATCTTAACTATCTTCTGCATATATATTTTTTTTTCACTTTTTTCCTTCCCCTTTCCCCCATCGCAGTTTGTATTTTCTTTCTAACATTTTTTCCCAGTTCACAATATCTATTGTACGTTTTGGATCCTCTTTTCTTGTTCAGTTTCTCACACTAGTGAGACCATATGATGTTTATACATATGCCTTCTAAATGTTAATTTTTGATCACTTAATATTTTTAATCAGCAGTGTGCTACCAAAAGTGAAGATGCTATGAAAGCGTGTAGGTCATGGTGGTGGCAAACCGACAGCACACATTCTGCAGCAAGTTGTTTGAATCATTGAAAACTAAAAGCTTTGCCATCACTGTATAGGAGGAGCATCTAATCCAGATTTATGGGATCAGAAAATTAGGTGCAGAAGAAATGAGTTCTAAACTAATACCAAGGGAAGAGCATACATACAAAAATGAGGTCCCTGACTAGACGGGGCAGTTGAGGTAGCACTTCCAGCTGAGAATGTAGCATGTGCAAAGGCCCATCAGTTTAGAGAACAAAGCAGGTTTGTGGAACTGAAATCAGTTCAGTATGACCAGATAAAAGAGTATGAGGCAAACAGTGGCAAGAGACAAACTTGACCAAGAACTTGGAACTAGGGGCTGCAAATATAGCTCTGTGACAGTATTATAGGCAGCTCAGTTAGATAGAAATTAATATACAGCCAGAGAGGGGCTAGGCCCTCAAGGAAGTCACAAAAACTAAAGACATCAAGCTTACGGCTGGAGGTACAAGATGGAGATGCAGTGACCAGATCTGCATGCCTTCTTCGAGGTAAACAGCAACTTGAGATTGTACTGTAATTAGCACCACCTTGTCCAGTGGACCCAGAGAGGCATCAGGTGCATAGGTGGATGATCGAAACATTCAGACCCACACTCCCCTCCCTTCCCAAAAATGCCTTTGTTCTTTCCTTGTACTCTTGCCACGTGCCTCATTTCCCTATTGGATCAATGTGAGCTGAATAACACTTGTAATCCTATGTGTTGACTGCAGTCACACTGTACCCCATTTTAATTTTGGTGTATAAATTACCCTGAGAAATGGCCTCAGTAGCCACCCCATTCAGGACCCCTCCTGGACATCCAGGAGCTATTCTTAGTATTCCCAATAAAGCTCTCCTAACTTTTTCCTTTGGTTCACTTCACTCCTTGACACTCACATTTGACTTCTAACAGGTCAGGAGTTACATTTCTCTCACATCAGTAGAGGCATGCTTACCACACATGAGGCCCCGGATTTTAAAAAGAGAAAGACCATATCATGAAGCAATCTGGATATTTTATATAATCCTAAAGCAATGTATTCGTTTGGTTTCTGAAGTTTTAAATATTATATATCAACCAGGCTAACTTAGAGACTTAGAGTATGTGTCCTGAAATTATTTTCTCATTCAATATAGACATATATGGGGCTGGGGATTTAGCTCAGCGGCAAAAGCGCCTGCCTGGCAAGCGCAAGGTCGTGAGTTCAGTTCCCGGTACCGGAGAAAAAC